CATCCCAGAGTTCCTGTGTTTGTGTTCATGATGAACAAATTGAATCAAAAAGTGATTTGCATTTTCTGGTGACATTTTATTGAAGGCTGAGGCTTGTGCGGATGCGATACTAATTCAATTTCCAGTGACAGCAGAGAATAGAGAGCACTAACTGCATTACACTGCATTACACTGCATCACTAAACAGGGCAAATACCTTCACCTGGCTTTAATTCCTTGTATTCCATGGAGGGGGCAGGCTATTTTAACCTCCTCTATGCTGGGGAAAGGGGCAGGCCGTGATTAACCTCCTGTGTGCTGGAGAGTGCCACAAGTCATGTTTAACCTCCTGTGTGCTGGGCAAGGTGACAGGCTGTGTTTAACCTCCTGTGTGCTGGGCAAGGTGACCGGCTGTGTTTAACCTCCTGTGTGCTGGACACGGTGACAGGCTGTGTTTAACCTCCTGTGTGCTGGGCAAGGTGACAGGCTGTGTTTAACCTCCTGTGTGCTGGACAAGGTGACAGGCTGTGTTTAACCTCCTGTGTGCTGGACAAGGTGACCGGCTGTGTTTAACCTCCTGTGTGCTGGACAAGGTGACCGGCTGTGTTTACCCTCCTGTGTGCTTGGCAAGGTGACAGGCTGTGTTTAACCTCCTGTGTGCTGGACAAGGTGACAGGCTGTGTTTAACCTCCTGTGTGCTGGGCAAGGTGACAGGCTGTGTTTAACCTCCTGTGTGCTGGACAAGGTGACAGGCTGTGTTTAACCTCCTGTGTGCTGGACAAGGTGACCGGCTGTGTTTAACCTCCTGTGTGCTGGGCAAGGTGACAGGCTGTGTTTAACCTCCTGTGTGCTGGACAAGGTGACCGGCTGTGTTTACCCTCCTGTGTGCTGGGCAAGGTGACAGGCTGTGTTTAACCTCCTGTGTGCTGGGCAAGGTGACAGGCTGTGTTTAGCCTCCTGTGTGCTGGGCAAGGTGACAGGCTGTGTTTAACCTCCTGTGTGCTGGACAAGGTGACAGGCTGTGTTTAACCTCCTGTGTGCTGGGCAAGGTGACAGGCTGTGTTTAACCTCCTGTGTGCTGGACAAGGTGACAGGCTGTGTTTAACCTCCTGTGTGCTGGGCAAGGTGGCAGGCTGTGTTTAGCCTCCTGTGTGCTGGGCAAGGTGACAGGCTGTGTTTAACCTCCTGTGTGCTGGACAAGGTGACAGGCTGTGTTTAACCTCCTGTGTGCTGGGCAAGGTGACAGGCTGTGTTTAACCTCCTGTGTGCTGGACAAGGTGACAGGCTGTGTTTAACCTCTCCTATGCTGGGGAAAGGACAGGCCATGTTTAACCTCATGTGTGCCTAGGAAGGGTGCCAACCATACTGGGATCATTTGGCAATACTGAGAAAGCCCAGCTCCAGACACTGCATATATCCCCAGTGTGGTCTGGCTAATAAATAGTGGGCTGGTCATGGTTAATTTCAGCTGCTTCCTCCTGCAGTGACAGTAATATGGCCCATAAATCCAGTGAGATTATCCCATCTCCCAGTGATGTCAGAATAATTACATCAATGACATCCTCGCCCAGCAGCACTGCCAGCGTTGAGCATCTGTGTGAATTTCTGATTCGTAATCACTGTGTTGCAAAATGGAGATTTCAGGGGAATTTAAAATGGTTTGGGGAATGTTTAGTGAGTTTGAGATTAGAAGATTACAATGAATGTGACTATAAACTTGGGCGAACACACGGATTTGGCTAATGTGGCCTTTGATTGAGGGTATCTGGCATTTCACGAATGTGAAGCAGGAACGTATGCTGGACGGTTGATTGGCCAGGAATAGGAGATTGTCAGAAAAGGCAGGGCAGTTGGGCAGCCAGAGACCGTGAGCACGGGCAGTTGGGCAGTCAGAGACCGTGAGCACGGGGCAGTTTCACGAATGTGAAGCAGGAACGTATGCAGGACTTGCACAGGACGGTTGATTGGCCAGGAATAGGAGATTGTCAGAAAAGGCAGGGCAGTTGGGCAGCCAGAGACCATGAGCACGGGGCAGTTGGGCAGCCAGAGACCGTGAGCATGGGGCAGTTGGGCAGTCAGAGACCGTGAGCACGGTGCAGTTGGGCAGTCAGAGACCGTGAGCACAGGGCAGCTGGGCAGCCAGAGACCATGAGCACGGGGCAGTTGGGCAGCCAGAGACCGTGAGCACGGTGCAGTTGGGCAGCCAGAGACCGTGAGCACGGGGCAGTTGGACAGCCAGAGACCGTGAGCACGGGGCAGTTGGGCAGCCAGAGACTGTGAGCACGGGGAAGTTGGGCAGTCAGAGACTGTGAGCACAGGGCAGTTGGGCAGCCAGAGACCGTGAGTACGGTGCAGTTGGGCAGCCAGAGACTGTGAGCACGGGGCAGTTGGGCAGCCAGAGACGTGAGCACGGGGCAGTTGGGCAGCCAGAGACTGTGAGCACGGGGCAGTTGGGCAGCCAGAGACTGTGAGCACGGGGCAGTTGGGCAGCCAGAGACCGTGAGACGGTGCAGTTGGGCAGCCAGAGACTGTGAGCACGGGGCAGTTGGGCAGCCAGAGACTGTGAGCACGGGGCAGTTGGGCAGTCAGAGACTGTGAGCACGGGGCAGTTGGGCAGTCAAAGTGAGGGTGTGGGAGGTTTAGAGGGGCTAAAGTAAAGTTGTTGCTTTGCATCAGGTTGATGATACAGAGCGTTGGTCCTCGTACACAGTAAGTGAGGCTGTAATCAGCTGAATCCAGCCGGCAGAGCTGGTTCCAGAATCTGTTTCTATGGTAACAAGACTGGAGAGTGTTGATGGGGAGATGGAAGCGATGGATGGATGGGGGGTAGTGAGCACAGTGTGAGTGAGGTAATGATGGGGGTCAGTAAATATCAGAAAGGAAAAGATCACGGTGTCAGGGCTGGCGGTCAGTTAACACAGTAAATGTCAGTGAGTGAAGCAAGAAAATGTAAATAAGTCATTAAACAGTGAGTGTGAGTGAGGGAAGGATCCATAGTGTAGGAGGGTCAGTAAACAGTCTGAGTGAATGAGAAAATGATGATAAGGCACTGTGCAGAGAGTCAGCAAACTCACTGAGTGTGAGCGATCGGAGGATGAAGCAAGCTATAAGGGAGGTCAGTAAACATAGTGAATGTGAGTAGGCACTCACTGTATGAGGAGTAGATGTCCGTAAACGCAGTGAGTGCGAGTAGGCACTCACTGTATGAGGAGAAGATGTCAGTAAACGCAGTGAGTGCAAGAAGGCACTCACTGTATGAAGGGGAGATGTCAGTAAACGCAGTGAGTGCGAGTAGGCACTCACTGTATGAGGAGAAGATGTCAGTAAACGCAGTGAGTGTGAGTAGGCACTCACTGTATGAGGAGAAGATGTCAGTAAACGCAGTGAGTGCGAGTAGGCCAGGAGCAGCAAGTTTGAGGAGGGTGTGGCTATGGGGCAGTAAGTTTGAGGAGGGTGTGGCCATGGGGCAGTAAGTTTGAGGAGGGTGTGGCCATGGGGCAGTAAGTTTGAGGGGGGTGTGGCCAGGGGCAGTAAGTTTGAGGAGGGTGTGGCCATGGGGCAGTAAGTTTGAGGAGGGTGTGACTAGGGGCAGTAAGTTTGAGGAGGGTGTGGCCATGGGGCAGTAAGTTTGAGGAGGGTGTGACTAGGGGCTAAAACTTTGAGGAGGGTGTGGCCATGGGGCAGTAAGTTTGAGGAGGGTGTGACTAGGGGCTTAAACTTTGAGGAGGGTGTGACTATGGGGCAGTAAGTTTGAGGAGGGTGTGACTAGGGGCTAAAACTTTGAGGAGGGTGTGACTATGGGGCAGTAAGTTTGAGTAGGGTGTGACTAGGGGCTAAAACTTTGAGGAGGGTGTGACTATGGGGCAGTAAGTTTGAGGAGGGTGTGACTATGGGGCAGTAAGTTTGAGTAGGGTGTGACTAGGGGCTAAAACTTTGAGGAGGGTGTGACTATGGGGCAGTAAGTTTGAGGAGGGTGTGACTATGGGGCAGTAAGTTTGAGGAGGGTGTGACTAGGGGCTAAAACTTTGAGGAGGGTGTGGCTATGGGGCAGTAAGTTTGAGGAGGGTGTGACTATGGGGCAGTAAGTTTGAGGAGGTGTGACTATGGGGCAGTAGTTTGAGGAGCTATGGGGCAGTAAGTTTGAGGAGGGTGTGACTATGGGGCAGTAAGTTTGAGGAGGGTGTGGCTATGGGGCAGTAAGTTTGAGGAGGGTGTGACTATGGGGCAGTAAGTTTGAGGAGGGTGTGGCTATGGGGCAGTAAGTTTGAGGAGGGTGTGACTAGGGGCAACAAGTTTAAGGAGGGTGAGGCCAGGTGCCAGACGTGGTAGGGTGAAGTAGGGGTAGACACGGAGGGACTAATTTCATATGTTTGGAGTACGGCATTTTCCCTGAATTTGAACAGGGTGAGCTAATATGGCTGCGTGGAGTAAGGTAAATTGTGGGTGCAGATAACTGAGGTCAGGTTCTTAAAGATGGAGGTTGCTGACGTGATCCCAGGGATTAGTTTGATAAGATGGAGGTAGGAGTAGTGACCCCAGGCCTTGGTTCAGTAAGAAGGCGGAAGGAAATTCTAAATGAATTTCAATTTTACAGTTAATGTAGTGGAACTGCAAGCATAGCATAGTTTGGTTATGTTGGTATTAAAATTAAAATGTACTTTTAATTCCCGTTATTTAGTGAATAGCCCTGTGTGACTCTACGAACAGGTCCTTCTGTTACTTAGGCCGTTTGCTAGAGGGAGATATAAACAGCTGTGACCAAGCAGCTGGGTTCGGGAAGGTAAGGTTCTTGCTTTGGACAGTGACGTGTCTTACACGCCATGGGCGGGGTTACTGCCTGCACGATGATGCAGTAATGGAGACACATGCAGCACTCATTCCACAATTCGCCTACAAAGTCCAGGTCTCCCTTCTCTCCCCAAACCAGCCAGCAGCAGGAGGTTTGCCAGGAATAACAGTGAGAGCTCGAGGATTTTCCCCAATATGGTCATAAAGGTTAACTACAGTCCTTGTAATAACAGTGTTAATCTGAAAGGATATAGAACGAGAGGCATTTCCTCTGTGCTGACCGGTAAGGAGAGCTAATGACACGACTCTGCACAAAAACACACATGGTAAAAATACACAATTTCTATCATTCCACACGGTGGCTGTGTCACTGCATGCTTCCTTAGCATACCAAGGGTTAATTATACCAGCTGCTTTAGCGGTAAAAACTGAAAGTCAAATTGGATTTGCTGCAATTAAAGGCATATGAGTCATAGCTTTAGGACTGTGTCCAGACCACGGCCACGTTTTGCATACCTTGGGAGGGCTGCCAGTGCTTCTATGGATGGAGATTGTTGCTCTTGGCCAATATTTGATCCAAATAACTATTATTAGGGGAATCTAAATCGAATTGTTTAATATATAAGACTAACAGGGCTGAAACCAGAAAATGGTCTCTCTGCACTATCCACAATCACTACCAACATTTGAATAAAATCCGTTTTTGGTAACCATACAATACTTGTGTAAGCTCACCTTCCAAAATCAAGACAAATCTCTCAACTGAATCCTGCACCAATAATTCACCTTTCTTCTTTCAGCTAAAAAGGCAAAATCTCTAATGAGACAGAAGAGGGTAATTACTGACCCCTCAACATTTTTAAACCTTAACAGGGCACACATTGAGAGATGTGGGATTAAGGTTACTGTTGGCAGCAAGAGGTGTGGGGTTACAGTTAGTGTTGGGAGTAAGAGGTGTGGGGTTAAGGTTTGTGTTGGGAGTAAGAGGTGTGGGGTTAAGGTTTGTGCTGGCAGTAGGAGGTGTGGGGTTACAGTTAGTGTTGGGAGTAAGAGGGGGGGTTAAAGTTTGTGTTGGCAGTAGGAGGTGTGGGGTTAAGGTTTGTGTTGGCAGTAAGAGGTGTGGGGTTACAGTTAGTGTTGGGAGTAAGAGGGGGATTAAAGTTTGTGTTGGCAGTAGGAGGTGTGGAGTTACAGTTAGTGTTGGAAGTAAGAGGTGTGGGGTTACGGTTAGTGTTGGCAGTAGGAGGTGTGGAGTTACAGTAAGTGTTGGCAGTAAGAGGGGGGTTAAAGTTTGTGTTGGCAGTAGGGGGTGTGGGGTTACAGTTAGTGTTGGCAGTAAGAGGTGTGGGGTTACGGTTAGTGTTGGCAGTAGGAGGTGTGGGGTTACAGTTAGTGTTGGCAGTAAGAGATGTGGGGTTACAGTTAGTGTTGGGAGTAAGAGGGGGTTAAGGTTTGTGTTGGCAGTAAGAGGTGTGGGGTTACAGTTAGTGTTGGGAGTAAGAGGGGGGTTAACGTTTGTGTTGGCAGTAGGAGGTGTGGGGTTACAGTTAGTGTTGGAAGTAAGAGGTGTGGGGTTACGGTTAGTGTTGGCAGTAGGAGGTGTGGGGTTACAGTTAGTGTTGGGAGTAAGAGGGGGTTAAGGTTTGTGTTGGCAGTAGGGGGTGTGGGGTTAAGGTGTGGCAAACCTAGCCACTTTTAGGTTACTGGACTGTATCTGAAAAGGTTGTCTGTAATAAGCCGCTGGACTGTTATATTTTAATGTCTGCATGTACTGCTGTGTCCTAGAGCATTCGTATGCTAGCAGCCGAAAGCCGCTAGCATTCATGTATTCGTTTCACGAACAGGAACTGTACCGGCTGTTCATGAAACAAATGAGATACCACTCAGTAGCCCACTTAAAGAGGGTCGTGTGGCACCCATTAACCGATTCGGCTACCGACCACGCGGCCATCTTGGATCCTTTGTTTCACCAGCGGTGTTTGGTCGTCGAGCGCGTGGAGCTGAAATCGGCTACTCAACGGCGCGAACACCGCTAGGCTTCCAAGCCGTTCGGGAGCTCCGGTCTTTCACTATTCTGGTTCCCCATCAATGGTTCCCCAACAATGTTAAAGTGTATTTCGTGCGGCATTTGGTTATTTATGCTGGGATCTGAGCGGTATTCTCACGAAATGTGCGCTCAGACCCCAGCTATCTACCAAACGTCCATTCGTTTAAATAACGTGAATGATGGAAAAGTTATCTATTTTAATGTAAAATGTTGGTTCTGCTGCACAGAGGGATAATCCATTTAACGGTATATTCCAGTGGGAGTATCCCTCTCGTCCAGCAATGCCTGATGGGAGAAATGTCCAGATTGCTAAGTCCCCCATGTAGTCCCCTACTGTATAATCACTGCAATGTCAGTAGGGAAACCCCTTGCATGGGGACTTGCATAAATACTGTGACTTGTGAATAAAAGCTCAGTTGACTCCCAAACCTGTGTTTCGTCTGGTTACTGGGGGGATTTGGGATATTGCCATACTTTTCTGTGCTTTACTTGGGATTACTTTCTGTACCAGCGGAGATCATGGAATTTAATATTGCAGCTCCGCTACAATTGGTGGCAAGTGACGGGATCCAATTTACAGCCAAAAAGCGGTGTTCGGATAGA